CTAAAATCTATGTATCAGTCACCACCACCTCATTTTTATTCTTTGAAAATAGTATGAAATCTTACATTTTATAAGAGAATTTCAAGACTTTTTTCTACCAATCTTTCCTAAAAGCTGATTTATTCTCTTGTACCTTTCATTTTGCAGAAAAGCATATATTTTTTTTCCCTGTAAGGAGCACTACTGCTATAAATCTCAAATTTTTCTCTACCTTTGTAAAATATTATCTAATATTTTAAAATTGTAAATGAAAATCCAAGTTTTGCTATTCAAACATTCTTTCTTTTTTGTGTTTGTTATGCATTTTTTTATTTTTAAAATAATTTCAATGAGAAACAGCTATTCAAAAATTCTAAGGTGTACTTATTATAGATTTGTGTGTCCATGAAAGTAGACAAAATTAATTTTCATCTGGGATATAAAACAGGACAATTAGACATGGGTGTACAAGCATATTGTGGGCATAATTAATTTTATTTTGCTTTCTTATATGCACTTCACAGATATTAAATTTTTTAAAGATTGAAGGTTTATGGAAAACCTGGATTGAACAAGTCTGTTTATATCGTTTTTGAGTCATCTCATGTTTGTTTCACATTTTGCTAATTCTAGTAATATTTCAAATTCTTTCATTATTATTATATCACTTAGGATGATCTATAAGCACTACTCTTTGATGGTACTTTGTAATTGTTTTGACGCACCATCAAGATACCCATATAAGTTGGTGAATTTAATAAATGTGTATGTGTGTATGAAAAAAAAAGAAAGTCTGGTGATGAACATGCATGGATCACAGAGGAGCAAAGTTCACATCTACAACATTCTTCCCTCCCAATCTGCATGATTTGAGTAACAGATAAGCATAAGTTCTTGAAAAGTCTATGAGGATGTGAACAAACACAATCATTCCAAAGGTGAATGATGGAAAGTATTGTTAGGCTCTGATGGCAGGTTATGGATTGTACAGACACTTTGCCCACTACTGGTTTATTTAATTGTTATGAAAACCCTGAGAAACAAAGTAGTTTAGTGTTGCAAATGGAGAAACTGAGGCTTTGATCAGCTAAGTAGGTAATATACCAAAGATCATATAGCCAAAGCCACAGGAAGGCAAGCATGCCTGAGCACAGTTTCACGCAGGCCTTAAGACCCAGACTTTCCACCCACTCTCCTGAAGAGTCCAGCTCTGTGGCTTTGCACTGGGACCTGGGCAACTGTTCCCTTGATTTAGCCCTGGGAAATTTTTGCCCTGTAAGTTAGGGACAGATCACACTCTACCTCTCAGTGTAGTGCATATATATTTTAGTCCCTTCCAGAATTATGTAGCTCAGAAAGATTCTACTTTTCCCCCTTTGCTTTTATGGCAGAAGTGTGCTTTTGAAAATATTTGACAACTGCCTCCATAATGTATCTGGAAAAGAGAAAAAATGTATGCTCTTCAGATTGTTTCCTTCCCTATATTGTTTGTTTCCAGAGAGAAAATCACTGGATTTGGATGAAAGGATTTCCAAAGCCATGTAATGACATTTAAGCATGGGCAACATTTTTTGCGTGGCTTTCAGTAATAAAAAACAGCAAGTTGAAAAATGGCCACAGAATTAGAGAACTGCTGTGTTCCATGCAGAAACTAATTGCTTGGTGAAAGGATCAGGTTTCCATGCTTCAACATCACGGTCCTCTAGCTGTTCTCAAACTTCAGGGCTGATCAGAATCCTGATGGTGGAGGCAGCTATTAAAGTGCAGGTGCTCACCGCCCCCCCCACACACACACACCTAAAAATTCTGAGTTAGTCAGCTCATGGTGGGGTATAATAATCTGTACTTTGAAAGAGCACCTGGGGTTATTCTGCTGCAAATACCTACAAACCACAATTTGAAAAACTATGACAGTGTATCAAGACAACTTTGAATTATTCCTGTAAGTCAGGGATGCATGAATGGATGGATAGATAAGCAGGTAAGAGATAGGTGAGTGACAGGAATATCAGCTAGCACAAATGGACCATGAGATTTAGTGGAATACATTCCTATATTACCCCTACTATTAGCAAACCTACTAATAAAAAATAATAATTTAACTGTTATTTCAGAAACAAAACTAGTCGTGTAAGAGCTACCACTGCAGACATCCTGGGGATGGGGTTGCTGCACTGAGGCATGAGGTTTCTCATGCAGCAGGACGTAAGAAACTGTCTTGAAGTCATCACCTATAGAAAATTCTATTTTAGCATCAACATCCATGAGGAAATTAATTAGTTCTTTAAATGGAATAACCACACCCTGGAATATAATAAGATCACAGTGGACAATGGAACAAACTTTCACAATTTGAAAATTTTGGCCATTGAATAGAAACAGCAGTATTAACTAGCAACTTGCCAGTAACCCCACATTATTATACAATGAAAGGGAAAGTAAGACCATTTACCCAGGAAAGTATGTACTAAATTGAGCATCACCATGCAATGTGGAATGAAGCTCATAATAACTGGGGGGAGGCCAGTTGGGCTATTATCTTGCCTTCTCTACCAAAATAAATTTAAAATAGGTAAGTTTTTAAAACTAGAGAAAATGCAAAAATTTTATTTGGGACTTCTCAAAGCAGATATTCTAATTAATCCACTAACACACAAGCTTCTTGAAGCTACTTTTTCTTGTTTATTTGCTATATCCACAATGCCAAAAACTGAAGCCCATATTGTGTTGATATTTGATAAGTGTGTCTAATGAGCTAATCAGTAGATTAAGTTTCTTGAGAGGATTTTATAATTTTTTAAATGAAAAATATCACAAAGTTCTTTTCAAAATAAATCAACAGTTTTGACAAAAACAAACCTTATGTAAATAAAAATATTAAAAGTCAGAAGGCAAATTGGTAAAATGTCACCAGCATAAGTATATGACAGCTAATTATTTAAATAATTCTTCAACAGAAAAAAGGTATACCCAAAATGTATCATGGAAACAATACAGCCAGGTAAGGTGTGTCACATGCACTGCAAGTTTGGATACTGCCTGTCCATGCAGCCATCCACCCTGAAGAGCTCCACCGGAAGGAAGCAAGCCTTCAGGTCTGCAAGATGTGTGTTCAAAGGCAAAGTAACGTGCCTCCCAACGTGGCTTCCAGCAGCTTCAAGTTTTGCAAATCCCCAGTGCTCGTCAGGTGGTCCCAGGCCTAAGGCCACAGTGCTACCTGGGGAGCCTTCAGAGAGCTGTGCCTCTTCTACAGATGAGATGCCGTCAATGCAGTGATGTGGCTCAGGCTGAAAATCACATTGGGACAGTCCTGTCCATACACTTCTAAAGGCCAGAAGAATGTACAACCAAAAGTTATCAGAATGCTAGATTTTATGTTACTTATACCTTGTCATAATGTTAAGATTCATCAAATTTGGTTAAAACTGACTTTCAAACCATTAAGGGCTGGGAAGGTGGCTCGGTGGTGAAAGCACCTGCCTGGCAAGCACAGGGTCCCAAATTTGATCCCCAGTGCCACATGCCGTGCTGGCCCTGGAACCCAAGGCACACTGTGCCAGCCAAGAACTGGGCACAGTGGGGCATACCTGTAATCCCAGAACTAGGAAGGCTGATACAAGAGGATCACTATGAGTTCAAACTGCATAGAGAGACCCTGTGAAGAAAAAAGAAGAAAAAATTAAGTATTTAAAAAATATTGGAGCCAGGGAGATGACTCAGTAGAATAAGCATTTCCCAGCAAGTGCAAGGTCCTGAATTCAATCCTGGTTCCACAAATAAATAAATAAATATTACTATAAAGGAAAATATTCTCTGAGTGACAAAATAATGGGTGATTTTCATTTTTTGATCCTTTGATGAATGTCTACATTTGTAGAGTATATATGTCACTTTCATTTATTTATTATTGATAAAGATAAAGCTACTTCCATTTTGATAAAACAGATTTGCTCTATAGATATGGGAAATGAGTGGAGAAAAATTATAGCTAATTCAAAATAAATAATAACAGAACTAGAGGAAAACATGTTCAACAGTAATTTTATGCATGGAAATTGAAAATAAATGCCATTCTCAAATGCCAGCTTAGCACATTTGGGAGATTTTTGAAATACACTATGCTTTGAATTATGAGTGCTTCCCAATTGCCACCAATTTGAGATACAATAAACAATACCTACCCAGGCTGACCCACTTGCTTCCCTGCAGCAAGCCCTTTCTGGGCCTCACTGTCAATAAAGAGCACAGGCCTCTCCTGGCACTGTGCCCACAGCCCAGCCCATCTCAAGCGGCCCTTCACCCACCAAGAGCTGTCCCTCTACTCCCCACACTGGACTCTATGTCTCATCCTGATGGACCTCACTCCTGGTGTCATGATTCCTTCACCTGTTTATGGCCTTCCCTTATTGTTCCAGCCAAATGGCTCAACTCCCTTTGCTCCTGTTCATCCTAGGTGGCGTGCAAGCCCTAATTAACATGATCTGAAAGAGAGATCATCGCCTTCCATTTTTTTTAGTTTATTGTTTTCTTCTAAGTCACAGAGTTTGCCTCTCATGTCTATCTCAGTACTAAACCTAATGTAAAAGACAGAGATACAAGAATGTCTGAGGACAATCACTCCCCTGTGATCTGTCTTTCTTCAAACAAACCCACTGGATGTGGTAATTCCTATCAGCAAGTTTGTTTCATTTTGATTTCCAAGTTAACCCTATTTACTGGAAGCCTTACCTTATGTGCTACAATCTAAGACCATTCTTCCATTTGCCTGCATGCGTACACATACACATGACAGAGCTTTCTTCAGACACTCCACTTGGAGATGGACGAAGGAAGGAAGTGAACAGTTTTCTGAACTCCTACAACTGGACAGAATCCAGGAGGTCCTAAGGCCAACAGGATGCTTGAACTATTTCTGAAAAACATGGCCTGTTCCTCTCCTTATGAAGTATTCCTGAGCTTGCAGTGGTGAGTACATCAATCAGCATGCCAGTCCACCCAGGTAGGAAGGGGGAGCTGTTGCCAAACTCCTGTAGTGAGGAGGCTCCAGCTGAGATGTACTTAGGGTCTCAGCACCCCTGTATTGACACCTTGTATATCTGCAATAGATGTGAAGCTCTACAGAGTACCCTGCCTTTCATGGGACCAAGAATCTCATGAACTGTCAACTGCTCCTTGCCTGGCCTAGGACCCAGCATGGGGATTCAGCTCTAGGAACAGATTTTACTTCCCAGAGAGGCTGCTTGATGAACCCAACTCAGTCAGAAGAGTGAATCGTCTGCCTCCTCTCCGTGACTTTTTCTCTATAAATTTGGTATTTGAAATGACCCAAGAAAAGGGAAGTGGGAATAGAAGATTCTCGAACCCCTTCCAGTTTTCTTTTTTCCCCCTTACAGTTTTCTAATGCTGGAGCAGTGGAGCCACCGAAAGTCTTTGTTGACTAGGTAGAGATGGTTACCAAGGATTACACAGGATGAGGTTTCCTTGGAAAGTCACTTTCAGTCATGTTTGCACTGCCTCTTCAGAGTGAGCCTTCGAGTGGCCATCCAAGTAAGTTTTTCAGCAATTCTAAGGCTGGATTTCTGAAACTAGCAGAAGTAGTTAATGCCTACCTGCGGTATAATTGTGTGTAGGAATGTCTTCAAATACAGTGATCTTTTAACTAGTTGCAAGCTGTTTCTGTAGGGTTATGTTTTATTTCTGTATAAATGGAGAGAAATCACTATAATGCAGGAAGTCAGAGGCAATGACACAGATGCTGAAGCCTGACCTGGCTGCAGAGGTATGGGCGCAAGCACAGTGGCTTGAGCTTGCAGAACAAATGGTGAGGGGAGGTCTGACTCTGATCATCCAGGAATACTGAGTTTTTAGTCCATTGGATCTCCAGATGAAGCTTAGGTTTCTGGACCAGACTATTTTGCATCATTGCTACAGGTTTCCAAACAGCAACAGGAAGCAGTTTGCTATGCAGATAAGCCCTGCAGGACAGGTTTGGCAAAAATCATTTTGTCCAGGGTGACCACAGCATATCTCAACTAGTAGGTCATTCCTGACAGAGCTACTTCCATCTGTAAACAGTGTGTACTCAACATCCATCAGGGGGTCCTTTTCTAGAACAGTGCATCCCAGTGTAGCAGATGACACTTGGACAGTTAGGTATCCATCTAAGGGAAGCTTGTCAGCTTTCTTGATCAGAAGGACAGTGGCTGTTAGAGCATAGATCAAAGTGGGGAGGCAGCCCTTAATGGCCACTGGGTGTGCTCAGGAACTGACACTCTGAGTAAGCATATAGAAGCCACCAGGTCCAAGAAATTTACAGAATTTCTTGTAACCAGTTTCTAAGAGAGAGGATAGAACATATGCCCCACCTTTCTGTCATCAAAGAAGCCATTGCACAGCTTCAAAAATGTCAAGATGGAGAAGCAGATCTCTTGCAATCTCAGACCTCTTGTAACCAGTTTCTACTGGATATTGTAGCAGAGCTTTTGTGTAGGCAACATGCATGGAGGGCAGCCATGGCAATGCTGGCAGCTTGGAGAACTTTAACTGGCTTTACAGGCAGGAGAAGTGTACTGCTTGGTACAGGTGGGGAACAGAGCTCCATCACCAAAGGGGCATGATTAATAGCAAGCCCTGACAGTCAGTCTTTTGTCTGTGTTTCTGGCAATGAGCCCCTCAAAATTTCAGGTTTATGATTATCAGGCTGTTCAGGCTGATGTAAGCACTAGTCTTCTAGTCTTCCTCCCAGGGTACAGTCAGAGTCAATACAAAGTATGGGATAGTGGACCTGAGTGTGAGGGAGGCTGGTCACATTCCAGGAGAGGTATAAGGTACTCAAACATGTACAGGAATTCATGTTTGATAAAGTATCCAACCATCTCACAGGATTTGCTTCACAGAATTTCCTCTCAGTGGGGGCACTAATGGGTAACTTTAATAACCTTAGACGTGTCTATGGGCTTCTTGCTGCCCTCTTTGTAGTCTGCCAGTACTGATCTAAAGCTTCATGGGTCTCTGTTGCATTACAGTCCCAGTTTGGATGTGTTTTGGGGGAGGACTGTGTTCACCCAAGTGTCAGGATCAACCTCAGTGGCAGGGACTTTTTCACTTTAACCAGGCTTGGACCTCACCTAAAATACAGCAGCATTCTTCAGTATAAAACAGAGTCAGAAGGAGTTGCTGGCAGTAGAGCAGGAGGCTGTGGTGCAGGAGATAGAACTGGCAATGGTGGCAACATGGCTGGCTGAGCCGCTTGAGGTTGATGAATGTAAGGAGGAGGCAGGTCAGACTCGAGGTCCTTGGGCAGAACAAGATAAAGTTTTGCTGGCTTGAGGTAAATCTGAGAGCCTCTCAGATGGTCTTGTGGGTTTGTTTTGATGACTAATATGGCTTTCTTGTCACACAGGACACAGGTGCAGAACCAAGGTGGGAGAGTTTTTAACCCCTTTCTGGCAATTAAATCCAAGTGAGCTGGCCTATTATCTCAGGATTTTGCCAATTGGACGGGCTTATGGGAGCAACCAACAAACAGAGGAAGGTATCTTTTCTGCCTTATGACAGCATGGAGATCTTACCCAAGGTAATTAACGTCTATCAGACTGATGTGTGGCTACATGGCTGCGCTTCTCATGACATCTGACAACAGTAGGAAAGGTCACAGTGAGGCAACATGGTTAATATGCAGGCCCAGAGGTGAGTCTGTAGCCCATGCCTCTGAGAGGAGAGTTTTCAGAACTTAGGACTGCAGTTATCTGTCCCAGGCTGATGCAGGCTTCATTTTCCTCTTGGGAAACAATCAAAGTTGAATTGCAGGGTGAAATGAAATGAAAGGAAGACAACAATATGCAATGTATTAATTAATGAAACTGTCCTACTACTCAGTTTTGAAACTGCCTCATTGCTATTTGTTTCGCAATGAAATTAATAAAAATAAAAAAAGAAATGAAGTGAAAGGCAGGATGATGCAAAAGAGATCCCCCCACGATGTAAGTTTGTGCCTGTCAGAAGGGCTGACAGGCAAGAGTCCTTGTTGCCCCAGTGATGGTAACTTTTTCTGACCAATAATTTTTTAATTTAAAATTTTTGTTGCAATATAAGCCAGCATTAAATTTTTAGTCTAAATTAGACTAAATAGAAATTTTATACAACCCAAGGAATGGATTTATAGTTTGACAGTGTTCGTTAAGTGTCTTGCTACCATCTATCTTTTTCCTTTTCTCTAAATTCTTTCTGGGGCCGGGGAGATTGCTTAGTGGAATAAGCACTTCCCTGGCAAGTGCAAGGTCCTGAGTTCAATCCCCAGTTCTGCCATAAATAAATAAACAAATAAATAAATAAATAAATAAATTCTTCCCTGGTCTTCACTTTGTACATGTATACTTTATTCCATCCAATATTATTTTCAGGATCTACTTGAATAATCATTAAACCAATTTAGAACATTCTAAATGGTAAAATTTGTCTTTTTTAAAATATTTCACAAGGTATTACTTTTCTCACTTTTTTTGGTTAGTACCAACATATTTCATAAAGAACTAATAAAAGTCTTTTATTTCCCTAAAATTAAAGATGAGTATATTCCAAGGTTATCAGTTTAACCATTTAGTCAGAGTACATCAAAAGCTACTCATCTTCATGTTAACTGAAATTATAACAAACCACTTTTGTCATTTACTTAATGCTTACAAGATTATTTAACACAATGACTTCTCACGACTTAACATTTCAACTTCATATGTCAACTTCATATCACTGCAAAGAAAAAAAATCCAAACATACTTTCCTCATCTAAAAACATCACAAGAGGCTCAGAGGTGCTTAGGATCTTTATACATCTTTGAAAACTAGTGTTGCACTTCTAGCATGCATTTAAGTTATAAATCACTTCCTATTCCACAACACAGCTTTATTTCTGTGTGCATCACAGTTAAATTAACAGGTACTACATCAGTTTGTTGAGTCAGGTTCTTTCACATTAAGGCTTTTATTCAAGATTTCTTTTTTTAAATTAGGTAGAAGGTCTAGAGGACAACACGGTTCTCCAAGGCTACATGGCACTGTGGTCCTCAGTTTTTGCTCCACTGGAGAAAACTTAATTAGTGGTGACAGAGACTGCTTTCCTTCTCCAAGGGACAGGCACAAAGATGGCTTTGCACAGTCAGTGAGCAAATCATCAGTGTCCAAAAAATGAGGCATATTATCTGCTTGAATCTTTTTTTCCTGCAGGACTCTTCTGGTTTGTGTCATTCAAGTACTTCAGGATTAGAGAGGTAAGATTCTTCCCTTGTCTTAAGAGAAATTTCCTTAGAGCCTCATAACTACTAGCCTGGAAACTGAACTCTGATTCTGGAGCTGTCTGTCTTCCTTTCATAACATCATCCAACAAAGTGCCACTGTGAACAGGGCTATTTGATGCTAGTTTAAAGTTGGTCTAAGAACTACTAGAGCTATTAAAACTCAGATGGCCATCTTCTAGAAGAGTTTCATGTGATAGGCCAAAATCTATATAATTAAGACTCTTAGAACTAATTCCACTTAATATTTGAAAAGAGCCCCATAACACAGTTTTATATGTGAAAGTTTCATTATGAGAAGCTTGTGGGTGCTCCGATGCTTATCCTTACTCCTACCCATCATCACATTGATCCTATCACGTAGAGGAGAGTGATGGTAACTTTTTGACAGAGGGAGCTTTTGAAGGCAGAGAGTTCTCTTCCACTGTCTGCCAGGAAATTCACAGGTCTGTTCCTGACTTTCACAATGACTATGGGCTTTTGGGAGACCAATTTGATAGTGCTCAATCATTCCTGTCTATTCAGCCCCAACAGGGCAGAACTCATTTATCAGGACTGACAGTCCAATTTTCCTCAGTCAAAATGTGAAACTCAAAATTGCCGCTGGTTATTTTGGGTAGGTAATAGCTGACATAGTCTGACAAGAATAGGCATGGATCAGGGGCCCTCCATGGCCAAAAGCAAGCAATGAACTGGAACTGGTTCAATTGGCTTGAAGTAGACAAGTCGGGAATGGGGAATGAAGGTGTTGGCAGTAACTGCAGCAGCCAACAAAGGTTTTAAGGCAGAATTCTCAGGAAAAATGGGCCTCTTTTTCCTTTT